AAACATTATCTGCGCCGCAATACACCTTGTGTATTGTCAGACCCCTCCCTGGGCTCCAAGGACAGACACCTCGAGGGGACACGCAGCACTCGAGCTCAGGGAAGGCAGTAAAAAGCAACCAAGCCAAAAGGCGCAATGCAAGGCTGCACTATGCAAGCCCTGCTACAAACACATGCTGAAGACGACAATGCTGAGATTTCTCAGGAAAAAGCGGCTGAGACGTGACGCCTGCCGCTATCCCCACACCAAACCTGCCGGGAGCGTGCGCTCCTCCTCCGTGGCACTGCAGCTCGGCTCTTCCCGGACAATTGCCCAGCAGGGCTCTCCAGCAGAGAGACCGGCTCCTTTATCTTACATTCAACTCCTGCAACACAGCATTTACATGACAGATACCGAGGTTCATTTACACTCAGCACTCATCACACTAACAAAGCCATTCCCCACAACCGAAGGAGGTGGCAGCTACAGCCCCGCAGCTGAGGACAAGCCATGAGGAACCTCGAAGCCAACGTGCCGGCGATTTTGCACCACTGGGCGTGCAAGTGGAGCTATCTACAGCAGTGTCACCCCCTGAGCCCTTGACAGGGCTATTTTCCAAAGTGACTCATGGTCATTCATGTTTGATTCACTCTCTGGCCCAGCTTCAAAACATTCATTGAAACCATTTCCACCCAGCCAGTCTGAAGAGCATTAGCTCCAGCACCATGTACTACTGCCGACCACGTGGTGGGTCCGTCTAAAGCACTAAACAGAGAAGCTCCCTCAAGAGCAAGTTTAAGTGTTAATTAGCAACACATGAAAATGGAAAATTAAGATGTGATCAGAGATACGCTGACAAAATAGAAGCGGTCTCTGGTGTTTCAAGCAATGCCCTTGAGACATCTTGTAAGGCATTTATGGACAGCACTCTAAATAGGTTATGATCCGAGACCATGCTGAAGGAGGAGACACACGCACAGCCCCAAGGAAGAAGAGAAGTCATCCAATACAAATGGCTGGAGTTGTGGATGGCCTCCACATCTCATCTGCTGGAGGTCTGGAAACCGACTTCATGGCAGAGAGGATGACAGGACTGAATGGAGATGAACGTACGCAAGGAAGACCTGGTATAGCCCATACACTGAGGACCTTACTATCGCGAAGCCCATCTCAGCACAAGGACTATGGAGAAACTGAACATGATCTTCTGGTGCAAAAACTAGTTGGCAGCACATGAAACAAGGAGGCAACAGATTTTAACAAAAACAAACCAGAAAACAAGAAACTCACTACGTAATCAGGCTGGCTTTGCTAATCATAGAATCATAGAATGTTTCCAGGGATGGGGCATCCACCACCTCTCTGGGCAACCTGCGCCAGTGCTTCACCACCCTCAGCGTAAAAAATTTCTTCCTTATATCTAGTCTAAATCTACCCCCTTTAG